GTTTCAGAGGATTCTTCCCCAGTTGATTTTATCACTTAGCACAAAAAGAGATTCTTTAAGTTTTGACTTGCCAAACGGTCGCTTGTTAAAGCATCACTGGCCAATCTTGTTCGGAATTGTTCTGGAATACAGATCAACCTGAATAAGCCCGAGGTATTCCTGGCCGAGTTCACGGTGCGGTGCATTTTTTCAGTCGGTGATTCCACAACCACTGGCTTCGTTGGGCCCGCGGTCCCACCCGGCCTGCTTCTCACTGTGCGGGGACAAAGTCGGGCCACAGATCGCGGTGCAGCCTCACTGAGACAACGAGCTCCGCCCACCGAGAGAATCTGACGGCACTCCCCCTTGGAGACGCTGGCACGCTCCGGCTGGTTCATTCCGTCTGGTCCAGGTCATCAGCGCCGCCAAAGGGTTCCGACAGGAGGCCGGGCCCCAGTGCCGAGGGCTCGCAGGCCCTGAGGACAGACGACCTTCTTTTTAAAACTCTGCTAGCACATCAGCACAGATTTGACAGCTGGTTCCCAAAGAATCTTTACGACTCATCAAGGGCCCAGCAAGCACAGGTTCTAGTGGAGGAGCGTGAGTTTGGCTCGCAGCAGCGATGCCGGCCTATCAAGGGGAGAGACGGGTTTCTTTTGAGGACACTGCGTGGCAGCCTTTCCAGCTTTGCGGTCTGGGTGCCAGGCCAGTCCCCGGCTTCTGTTTCACAAATAATTTGGGCTCGTCCTTTGCTTCAGTAGGATTTTGGAGCAGAATCAGTCAAGCGGGCTTTTCATACTCCCAGGAGGAGGTGAAGGCAACATTAAAAGAAACAACCATGTTGTTTACGTTTCCAGAAATGCCTCTTCTGATGATTACCTACAGCCCATCAACGTTAACTGCGTTTTCTTCCTAACCACAGGACTTGAGCTTTAAGATATTTAACATTTCTTTCTGGAAATGCTCACTGGGTTGGCAACTTCTAAAGAGGTGTAAAAGGCAAGAGGTAAATGGTTGAGGAAGGGATTTTTTTCCACTTATTTTATTTTGTTTTTATTTTTTTATTGTTCTTTAAGTACAGTTGTCTCCGTTACCCCCCATCCCCCCAGTCGCACCTCCCACCCTCGATCCTACCCCCTTTGACTTTCTTTGTCCATGTGTCCTTTCTGCATGCTCCTTGACAACCTGAGGAAGGGATTGTTTGAAGGCTAAAGAGAGAGAGAAAAACTCCAGCTGGAAAACTTGCTGGTGTCAGCAGCCTTCTCGGGTTCTGGGCCGTGAGCGCGATGATGCAGGGGAGAGCACGCAGCCCCATGCAGGTAGGTACCGGTGTGGCAGGGCGGGCCATCAGAGGTGCGAGGCCCACCTGAAGTTGAACCTGGTTAACAAGACATCACCTCTCAGGGAATGACATCCTTTTATTCCAACAGTGGTGGCACCATCCAGTCATTAAAGCAAAAATGACACGTGAATTGAACCAAGTGCCAGATAAGGAACCTGTTTCAGCTGTGTAAGTCGGGAGTGTCAGCTGGGTTGACACAGGAAGCTGGCAGAACCCCATCTAATTTGCTCGGCGAATTATGTCACCGATGAGCAGCTGTAGACAGTCCCTCTGGAAGGCAGTTCCCAGCCTGGATGCACATGCAAGCTTACACAGCCCTCCCTGTCTGGGCCCACTGGCGGGGATTCCAGAGGCAGAGGGTCTGGGGGCTGCCTGGTCCTGAAGTTTTGAAATGCTCCCCAGGTGCAGCCAAGAGTGAAAACTAGCTAATTCCTTATTTATCCACCTCTACTGTTACAATTCATAATCCAGAAGCTACATCTACGAAGTCTGCGACAGACACTGTACGTTGTCCACCCAATAGCCACCCCTTTCCTTTCTGATAGAATCTGGTTTTGGTCTCTACCTTCCCTCCTGAGGGTCCAGGAGCTATTCGAGGAGGCCTTGCCCTGGGCGCAGGCTAAGGCACGAATGGGTGAAGCTGGGGTTTCTCCACCTGGGCACTGCTGACACTTGGGCCAGGAGAATTCTTTGTGGTGGGGGCCGCCCTGTGCAAAGTGGGATGTTTAGCAGCATCCTCGGTCTCACCACCAGACGCCAGAAGCACCATCGATCCCCAAGTTGTGACTGACGATCAAAAGTGAGAGTCACTGGGCCCGGCGTGTCACTCGAGGTCTGTGCCTTGCCAAGGACTGTTCGTGGCACCGTCAGCTGAGTGGGAATGCCTTTGGGAAAACATTCTCTTCCTTCTGTGAGACAAGGGGAGGACAAAGGCGCTCTTTCTGTGGGATGCATCCATGGTCCAAGCCTGGGTCCCTGACGTCTCTGGAGGTGTGCCGCCCCCTCCCCTGGAGCTGCCTTCCCTCCTGGCTTCTGCATTGAGAAACAGTGTGGCCCCCTTGTGCTGACAGAGCTGTTTGCTTCCAATGGCTCAACGCTGAATCTAGGGTATCCTTAACCCCTGGGAATTAATTCTGTTCCTCTTTGGAAGGCAGACATTTTGCCACTGACCAATAGGAATAATTGGTCAAAATGTGTCCACCAAGTAGAAAAGTATCAATATATCACCAAGATTATGGCCACGAAGCAGGGTGGTGCCTATGCGACATGCATATCATTTACTTATGTGGTATGTACACCTTCTTTGGCCCTCCCTGCTCAAGGAGAAAGCAGCAAAACCTGAGTTCACCAGTGGTGGCCAGGGACGCACGGAAGCAGATGTTCTGTATCTGTTAGATACAAACCTCACCTTGGCAGGTGTCTGAGGACCCTCCAGGCACCTCTTTTGTGAGAGCCTCAGCATGTGAGGGCAAAGCATTAGAATTGATTCTTTTTCAACAGTCAACCTGACTTGTAGAACAAACTCCTTTCGTGTTTCCACAGCAATTTGTGGGGTCGATGCATGTGATGCTCAATCGCAGTCCCTCTGGTTTTCGACTTGTGCCCCCACCACCATTTCATTCATTGAAAAGGAGTTTTAAAGAGGCCGAAGCTAAAAGCAGATGCTTAACATCATTCACAGGAGACAAGGATTCCAGGTGTTGGCCGCACGGGTGCTGTTTTAAGACTTCTGCAGCCCTGATATAAGCATTTGGACACCTTAGCTCTCAAAGCTCTGCAGTCAGTTGTTACTGCTTCTGGCTCTATGACCCTGGTCCACTGGAACCCAACCCTGGGTTCCTTCTGTTTAAACGGGGACCTATCAGATCCAAACCTAACACAGGGTTGTCGGGTTAGGCCCGATAAGGTAAACAGAATGCTTAGAACAGCAGCAGTGTTCTTAATAAATGCTTTCTATGGTGCTCTGAACAATTGTTAACTGTTGCTAGGAAACTCACAGGGTTAGATATGACAACATAGTGTGCAAATGCCTCCATTTTAATCCAAAACACATAAACCACACTGAATATGAAAAAAAAAAAGAGGAACATAATTATCCATATGGGAAACCTTCAGTTTACAAATAGGATGTTCAAAAAGTTCATTTTCAGTTGACTGGAAGACTCGGTCTCCATAGCAACAATGCTCTAAGTGCAGTTAGGATTCCAAGGACTCACAAAGGCAAATTAATCTTTAATTTCCTGAAATACTGTATGTTTGTTCTGATAAGGTCAAACACGATGGTCCTTTACTAGAAACAAAACAGTAGAGAAACAAAATTGATCAGCAAGTAAGATTAAAATGTTTAGAATCCTGTGGCTTGAACCAAAAAAGGATGAACTAGAAGTCAAATGAGGAAGCTGGGAAGGCCTCCGAGCCCGGGAGATGAGGGCATTTAATCAGAGAGAAGGCTGCCGTGCTTGGTGCAACACCTCCACCGTACTTGCATTTATTAGCCCGAAGTAGGGTCGTCATCAGCCTTTAAATCACAGGTGGCAAGCACAAGGCCCGCGGGCAGAATCCGGTCTGCCACCTGGTTTCTCCTCCGCAGCAGCGCTGAGCTCTCGCTGAACTATTAAGTAGTTACATTTATTTAGTCCTAAAATTACATTCGGCCCTTTGAAGGTGACTGCAAGGCTGATGTGGCCTCCAGTGAAAATAAGTTTGACGCCCCTGCTTTAAGTGAATAAAAAGCATTTGGGGAAGCAGAGGCAGGCATTTTCCTGCACAAATAGATCGCACCTGGGACTCAAAAGGGGAGGCGCTGGTGCACACACAGGCCACGGCCAGAGCTGCACGGAGCAGAGGCCACAGGATAAGGAGGGCGTGCGTAGGCAGCCCTGGGGGGAGTAGTCGCTTCTTTGGAAGACCCAGGTTGTTCCAGAAAGGCTGACTGGTGAGAGGTAGTGGCAGTGCGGGTCATTGTGGCTTAGGAGGCACTTCTCACTTCAAACTGTGGTAAGAGTGGAGTCCAGCCCCCCACCTGGGCACATGGGAAGGCCTCACCAGGGTCACAAAGCCTGTTTTGTAAGAGACGGAGCTTTGCCTGGAAAGTGGGTCCAGCGTGCAGCAGCGCGGGTGCTCATTTATGAACGGAGCCCAAGCTCGACTGGATCCCTTTGAAGGCCATCTCCCCGTGTGTGCGGTCTTTTACACTGCACTGGTTCAGTGAAATGTTAATTAGGTGCTAAGTATAAAAAATGATCCTTGGTCAAATAACTTGGAAACTGGCAGGTGAGAAAAAGAAATCACATTTTTCTGCTCTGGGACCTCAAAGCCTTCAACATGCTAATTTGTACTGTGGATTTTCATGAAGGGAATACAGCGCAAGGCAAATTTTCTAAGCCCAAGTGACCATAAACCCTTATTTTCTGGAACTTCCCCAGGACGAGTGTCCTGGGGCACATGCTTAGAAAAGGTTTCCTCTTGAACACGTAAAACATTAGCTCTCCTTGGACACCCGTCCGGGCAACCCGACAGTCACCGAGGCTCCTCGAGGCGCGGCCCCCACCCGCACCTCCCTTCCCCATGTCACCTCTGGTTATCCTCCCAGAGGTTTCAGCTTATCATCTAAATGGTGCGTGTGTTTCAATCCGAAAATGTGGAAAACCAAACAAATCACTTCTGACACACAGGAAGCTTCAATAGCAGGATTTCAGGCACCTTTATTCATGGCAGAACTTTTTGGTCGGGGGAGTGTGCCTCAGGGGCCTTTCCAGCACTCAAGGAAGCCAGCCCCTCCCTCAGTCCTGACCAGCCTCCCCCCCGCACCACCTCCAGTCGCCCTGTCGGAGGCTCAGGCTCGCAGACACCCTGCACACAGGAGGTGCCGGCTGCGGCTGCGCGGCTGGAGTCCAGGAGGCTCTCGGGCTTTCAGGGCTAAACTTTGCAGCACAACCTACTGGCCCATCAAAGGAGTTTTCGCAGCTGGGTAATAATAGGGGTTAATCCATTTTATCACAGAAGAAATGTGCTCCTTGATGTTCTCCATATAATTTATAAATAGGAAAAATTAGTTCTTAATATTATTATATATTTGTAATATAAACAATCAAGACTGGTTATATAGAAAAATTTTAGAAAATCAAACTGTGTTCGTGAAGGGTTCTCCTCCATGAGGCACTATACTGTGCCTTAACTTTTTCATTTTTTTTTCTGTGCAAAATCACTTTGCTGAGTCAGTCTCGGCTGGGATTTCCTTCCCAGCCAACCCTGGCCTCTAGGCTTAGCAGTCCTGACAGTACATTTGTGAGCAGCAGAGTTACAATCCCTGGCTTCTAAGATCAATAATAAAGCCATTACTCTGCAAGAATGTAGGTAAGAAATAGTTTAAGGAAACAGTATTTCTTAAAAAACTTGAGCCTACTACAAGTCCTTTATAATTTTCTAGGGAAGCAACTGGTCTGGAGTTAATATTGTTTCTTTTCCTTTTCTGTTTCTTTTTCCAGTCAATCAGGAGCTCAAAGAAAAAATGGAGTAACTGAGTTTTAAAATCCTGCCAGATTTTATATGGTAACTATTGTAGATGAACAATGTAAGAAGGTCCTACTCAAGTATTCAGATCTCATGCAGAACTCTAACTAATGAATGCCTCATTACATCAGGCAATTCTGTTGTCTTTCATATTTAAAAATTCTCACAGCAAAGGGGCAGTGGTCACTATTCATTACTCTAGCATCTGACTTCCAAGACTTAGACACAAAATCTAAGTTCGAGTTTTGGCAACAGAGCAGTGCCAGGCATTTCTCAATAAACAATTTTAAATGTCTTTAACCATTCGAAAGGACCACCAACATACTGTTTGGTGTTAGTTCAACAGTCACTCTGTGCACAATTAAAGAACCCCAAACTCAACAAGTGTCTTACTTCACGAAGTCTAATTATAACAGAATAACATACTGTATGTCTAATAGGAAAAAAATTACACAGCAACGTTTATCAAACAGCAACTACTACAAAAGAACTGATAGAAGAAAAATGATTTCACAAAAATACACTAAAAATTTTGACAATTTTATGTAGGAACCGCCAAAGTTTTAGTGTTTAATATTTAATAGCACAGCTGACCAAGATCCAAGATGTGAAGTTATCAAGTTTGAGAAACGGGGTGGGATCACTCTATCAACTAACTATATAGTATGTGATGAGAAGAACGCACACTTTACAATATCAAACCTGTCTACACATAGTAATTAGTTGCAAAGAGCCATTTGGTCTTCTCCTGGCTTGTAAAACCAATGTTCCGGATTTCAGTGTAAATTAGCAACCTATTGAAAAAGGAAAAACCATCAACACGTTATTCATTGTAGGAGGACAAATAATGATACTTAGAATTATCAAGTAAAAACCCTTTCAGAACCCCCTATTGAACTAAACTTATTTTCTGTGCACAACATTCTAGCAGAAATACATTTAATTGGAAATCTTTTATTAAAGAAACTTCTGAATCCATTTCCTCCTCCTACGCCTTTCTTTGTATCATGCCTGTAACTCCAAGTCTTCAATTCTCAAGAGGATGTTCTCATTCACTTGAAGGATTTTTGAGATACAAGAAGCTTCTCAGACTGGTGGGACATTTTCGAAATCCTCTCTATATAGGAATACAGATGACCACCCACACAAAACCACCATGTGATTTACTCACACAGAGAATCAACCCAATCTATTGTTAAGATAACAGCAAATGTAAGGCTTTTATCTCTCAAACCTCTATTTATTTTCTTGTACTTTGAAAAGCAACTTGTATTTCATTATAACTTATAATTTGGTCCAGCGAGGACATGCCCAAAAATTTTTTAAAAAATATATGGTGTCTTTTACTATATATTCTGCTTGGTACTGTAGTTACTTAAAAATTCTCAGTAAACTCTATTTTTATTGAGAATGAAAGTACTAAAAATGGTATGGGAGAAAAAGAAGTTTCAAAATCCTCACCAAAAGGATAATGGGGACACAGGTCTAATGAATAAAAACGGGGGACACGCCACACTCACCCTGCCCTCCCCTCACCTTCAGCTCTTCTGTGTGGCAGGTATCTTGTTCTCCCCTTCCAGCTCTTCCACCCCGGCCTGCGTCATGAGGTCTGCGATGTTTTTCTCCAGGTCATCAATGCGACTACTCATATCATCAAGTGGTGAAGTTAAAGACGAAGCACATCATCACCTCCCATGCCTAGCCTTTTCTTCCAGGGCCTGTAGAGTATGGCCTTAAACACACCTGTCTTAGTGAAACTGGTTTTCCCATTCCCTTTGGACAGCCATGTGTTGCACAGTGACATTTCCGTCGACAGTGGACCAAATACATGACAGTGGTATATCAGATAGCCTGGGCGTGTAGCAGGCCACTCCTTCTAGGTTTCTGTAACACACTGTCATAGTCTGCATGAGGATGACATCATTCAAGGACACATTTCTCAGAACGTATCTGAGTCATTGAGCAGGGCACAGCTGTAAGCTGGCAGTTAAGAGCACAGGGGTCTTGGGGAAGGAATGAATCCCAGCTCTATCCTTCACTAGTGATGGGATGTGGGCAAGTTGTTTTACTTTTCTAGGCTTCTGTTTTTTGTCTGCTAAATAAAAGGAACACTACAACCCTTTCATCAGGTGATCAGAGGAAAGATACACATAAAATGTTCGGCTCGCGGTCAACAGTCCATCATATGAGGCATGATTATGATAGACTGTCAATTCCCTGAGGCTGGTGTCTAGCTCAGCTGTGTCCCCAGCTCTTCACACGGTACTTCTCAAGAAAAGTACCCTCATATTTTGCTGTGTATTGTGTGCTCCCCTGTATGATGAGCACTCAGGTTTTTTGTCTAAACATTCAGGAAAAACATCTTTGGTTTTAATTTTTTAATTCAATTTAAAAAGTCCAAGGAAACCAATTATCATATTCTAGGGTGTTATTTTGCATATGGATAGCATTATAGTTTTCTAGAATTACACTCTTAATGCATAAGCACAAATAAAATAATTAAAAACATTTATATAGATACAGAATTTGTACTCCTCATGTATAATGTGCACCCTTATTTTCGCTAAAAAATCTGGGCGAAAAAGTGCGCATTATACAGGGTAAAGTACGGTACATCATGCTCAGTAAAAAATTTGGTAAATGACTGGCTGAAGTTGGCCCGAACACCATCCATTCATTGACACCACTACCGAGAAAGTAGGATGCAAACACCCATTAGAGGCTGACTACAAATTCAAAGGATATTTCTTCCAATGATCTGGTCGGACATGGTCTGAAACTTATCTTGCATCTGTTGCAGGAGTGTCTGCACCTATGAACCAACAAAACGAAACACCCACTCTCACCGTGAGACACCGCCACGGGATGAGGAGAGGAGCCCTGGTCCCAGAGGGAGTCCAGGATCCTGGGTTCCAGCTCCAACTCAGCCTCTTGGGCTTCAACATGGCATTTCGCTCTCCCGGTTGGTTTCTTCATCTGTCAAATTAGGCTGATGGGTCGGTGAAGCCCTCCCCGTTTGGGCCCCGCTACCATCCAAAATTGGTTGGGTCTTTTGGTAGTTTTTGAGGGCTTGGAGGCATCAGGGTGTGAGGGAGGCGCTGAAGGATGGGCTGCGCGGCGAGCTGAGGGGTGTGGGCTAGAAGCTGGCGGGGACCAGGGGGTCACCCAGGGGTGCGGCTCAGGAACAGGTGAGTGGGGGTTAACAAACCTGCGGACGTCAGCAGGCGCAGGGGCCCACACCCAGCGGCCCGGGAGGGTGGGGATAAAGGTGGCCGGAGGCCTCGGCAGGCGAAGCCTTTAGAAACTCGGCCTCCTGAGACCAGGCCCCCCGCGGCCGCGGAGGAGACGCCCGGGTCCGCGAGCCTTGCCTGCGCCGCCCCGGGATGCCACGGCCTCGGGCCCACACAGACCACCCTTACCACCGAGGTGAGATCCTGCACGGTCTTGGGGTCAGTCTCGGCCATCTCCCCGGTTCCCAGTTTGGCGGTGATATCTCAGACCGTCACCAACACTTCCGTTTGTCAGCGCAGACGCCCCCAGCGGCTTCTTCTCGCGACGACAGATGACAGTCGCGCGACCGCGGGGTGTTGTGGGAGCTGTAGTTGGTGTCACGCGCCGACGAGGCCTGCGGTCTTGCGCGTGCGTCCGAGCGAGGCCCCGCCTCTCCTCTGCACTCAGCACCTCCCCCCGCCCCCGCTCGCCCTAGCCACGCCCCTAGCCACGCCCCGCAGTCAGTACTGGTGGAAAAAGCGAAGCGAGGCCATGGGGTCCTCAGTTAAAGGGGTTGTTTTCACCTCTTCCCTGGATGTCATTAAAGATTGCACTGGTTGTTTTTGGCCCTGTTGAAACGCACTTGCTAGGTACCTGTGAGGTGTCAAGTTCAGGCCTGTGCTGCCGTTTGCCTTCCAACAAAACCCCACGAACACCTGGGGTACGCTGAAGGTACCAGGCGTGAGGGTTGAAACCATCATGCACCCAGCTGCCCAGCCGAGGGCCTGGCTACGCCCTTGACCGCAGTGTTTTTCCTTCTCCCCACGAGGGGTGAGTGGACGTGCTGGTGCAGTGGGGCAGGTTGGTTTTTGCTTTTAATTGAATTATAAAACACCTTCTGGTTGGTGCAGAGATCCTAAACTACTTTTCGCAAAGCCCACACTCTCTTATAACACACCTCCCCCCGACCCCAAGTCAAGAAACATGGCCAATCCCCTGGAAACCCTTCAGTCCCTTTCCTTTCATTCCCATCCACCCACGAGGGTGACCAATGAACTGACTTTGAACACAATTGGTTCATTTTGCCAGTATTTTAACTTCATATAAATGGAATCGGACAGTAAGGCCTTCTTAGTGCATGACTTCTTTCATTCAACATGATGTCCACCGCTGCTGAGGAAGGGGGGCGGGGAAGGGTTTTGGTTTGGTTACAGAGTGAGCAGTGGGCGGTTTAAGAGACTGGATTTGGTTAAGGAGGGGCGCTGCTGAGTTGGGAACCTCAAGTGCCAGCCTCACAGGTGGCCTCCAAAGTGGGTCTCATTGGCTAGGGGTAGGAGATACAGTCCTTATCATTTAAGGACTGTATTTTGGCCGGATTCCAGCTTGATTTTGGCTGCAGAGAGGCTGTAAGGGAACCCACCAGTGTCTGTAACGCTCAGGAAATTTAAATGGGGGTTGGCCACGAGGGCAGAAGACTCAACTCTCTTCTCCCAACTTCACTCCCTGACCTCAACTTCACCTCCCTCACCTGTGTCCCCTCTTTGCACCCCACCCCATCTTCCTTTCTATCCCAAAGGGACTCAGCTCTTTATAATTAGTTGTTGTTAACTGGTGTTTGGTTAGTGCTTTATCTGATCACTTAAAATAAACATCTCTCAGTGTTTTAACTTAATCCTCAGAAGAATCCTCTGATACAATTATCACCATTATATAATTTTGGGGGCTGAAACCTTAAACCAGGCAGTGAGACTAGGGAGTAAGAGATAGGACTTGAGCCCAGGACTTTCTGACTCTACCTTCTCCTTTTTCTGTCATTCTAGAATTCTCTGAGTTGTCTCAGTTTAGAGCAGGGTTGCTCAGCAGTGGTGCCACTGGAATTTTGGGTCAGCTAATGCTTTGTTGTTGTGGGGGTGTGGGGTGCCCTGTGTATTGTAGGATGTTTAGTTGCTTCTCTGACTTATATCCAGGAGATGCCAATAGCATCACCTCCACCCAGCTGTGACAACCAAAAATATCTCCAGACACCATCAAGTGTCTCCTGGGGTGGGTGGGTGGGATGGGGGTCACCCTGAGTAGAGAACCACTGGCTTTAGAGGGATCTAGAGATATTGCCTAGAATTCTGCTTGTTTGTTCTTCACGTATGAATTTATTTTCCCTTGGGCCTTTTCTTGAGGATTTTCCTCTGTACTTATTGAGATTGAAGGATAGTGTATGAGATTCTTAGGGCTGCTGTAACAAAGTGCCACAAACTGCTCAACTTAAAACGAGAAATTTATTGTCTCAGGGTTCTGGTGGCCAGAAGTCTGAGATTAAGGTGTCAGGGGGGTTGGTTCCTTCTGCGGAGTTTGAGGAGAATCTGTTCTGTGCCTCTCTCCCAGCCTCTGGTGGCTGCTGGCAATGCTAACTTTTTAAATTTATAATCCTCATCCGAGGATATGTTTATTGATTTTAGAGACAGAGAAAGGGAGAGAGAGAGAGATAAGGGGGAAATGAGAGAGAGAGAGAGAGAGAGAGAAGAAACATTGGCCAGTTGCTTCCCATATGAGTCCTGACCAGGGATCAAACCTGCAGCCCAGGTATGTGCCCTGACCCGGGATTGAACCCGGACCCTTTTGGTGTATGTGATGATGTTCCAACAACTGAGCCACCCAGTCAGGGTGGCTGCTGGCAATTCCTGATGTTCCTTAGCTTGTAGGTGTTACTTAGCTAGTATCACTCTAATCTCCACTTCCATCTTTCCATGGCCTTTGACCTGTGTGTGTCCTCACTTCTTCCTATGGAGTAGGGGCTCAGTCTATTCCAATATGATCTTACTCAAATTATTTATATCTGCAAAGACCCTGTTCCAAATAAGGCCGCATTCTGAAGTTCTGGGAGTTAGGACTTCAACGTGTCTTTTTTGAGGGGTGGGGACACACAGTTCAACCCATAACAGCAAAATCATACCACCTCACATTTGTACCATACCTGGTATTTTATAAAGTGTTGGCATGAAGCTCCAGAATTAGTTAGCTAGTAAGTAGTCAGTCCTGGGTGGGATTTCAGGCCTTTTCACTTTGGACCCCAAGCCCTGGAGCTACCATGCCTAGCACAGAAGCCTGGCTGCCCACACTCAGATTTCTAGCCACATCCGGCTGATGGTTGTGAGTAGCACAGAACATGAATTAGCATGAAGGCTGGCGGGTGTGTGTGTGTGTGTGTGTGTGTGTGTGTGTATTTCTGGAAGGAGATTTGAAGGCTTTTTATCCAAATTGAAATTTTCTTTACATAAACAGTAGACAAATGGCACATTTTTGTCGGATACTCTTTTCCTGCACTTAGAAAAGCAGTGCATGTTCTCTCTGCACAGAGACCAGGGTCTCTGAAACTGCTGCTGTCCGCAAAAGCTTCACTAATTTGTAGTCATGGCCGATACACTTTGTAGGGTTGACACACTGAACCTAACTGAACATTGTTCCATTAACAAAACTACTGTATCATGTGTAAGGCACTAGTAATTAACCTTTAAAACTTTGGTTTTGAACAACCCTCATTTTAAACCTTTAAGTGTCACAGTGGTCTTACCTTCCCTTAGCATTTTTTAAATAGCTCCTCCTAGACTAACTGCATAACTGAAGTAATTCTCTTTTTTCCCTTTCAAGATGGTTTGGTTTTACATTAGCTTAATGGGGTACTTTTATCATTGTTCTTTGGCAGGGCTGTTCTCTCCACACGCTTCCTTCCCCAGATCCATGCTAAGGAAGGTGGTAATGCACCTGTGTGTCTACACTGCACTGAGATGTCTGTGTGTGTTTACCCTGCATAAACGGAGGAGGAATGTCCATCGCTGGGCCTTAGAAAACTTTTAATTCGTCCTTTCCCTGGTTGTACCTCAGGGAGGCCCTGGTTGGGCCTCAGCTCTGCTAGGACCCAACCTGGTTGTGAGCTGCGGTTCTCCCGGTTTTCTCCCAGGTTGCTGCCGAGAGTCACACACCTGCGGGCGTGGCGCTACAGCAGTTGTAGGATATGGTGCCTCATCCTTCTAGTGGCCTGGGCTGTGCTTGCTCCCAGCCCTTAGTGGACACTTTAAACCTTTTCTGTCTCTTCAAACCCATAATATAAATGTGTAAAACATCTGGCTCATAGGAGGCACTTACTGAATACGGTGCTACCTCAGTACTCCCCGTTAATTCCTTCCGGAAACCCGTGGTGAGTGCCGAAACTGACGAGTACCAAACAAGTGAGAGTGATGAAGCATTTTCTCTGGGGGGGCGGAGTCGTGACTCATCCTCAGTCTAGCAAGTGGGATGAGTCCAGAGCAAGTGCGGAGTGCTGAGACATTTTCTCATCAAAATGCAACAGGCACAGGGTTTGACAAGTTCTGGAGCCAACGAGCACTGAGGTGTGACTGCAGTAGCACCTCCCCTTTCTTTTTAGGGCTCTCACTAGAGGAATCTTGCTGTCTATCTTCTCTATCTACCTACCTATCTATCATCATCTACCATCAGTCTCTCATCTGATCTGTCATCAATCATCTACTTATCCTCTATCAATCATCTACCGTCAATGTATCATCTACCTATAATCTATTTATTTATTGTCAATCTATCATCAAGCAATCTATCATCAGTTAATCTATCTACTTATCTATCATCAATCTGTCGATCAAGCTATCATCAATCAATCTATCATCAACCAATTTATGATCTCTCTGTGTAATCTATTCTAATCTGGCATCTCTCTGCTTTCCCCCCTACATCAGAGGGATTGGACTGTTATGAAAGAAGGAAGGAAAATAGTTCATTATTAAGCAGGCAGCACATGGTTTTGGTCTTGGTGCTTGGACACCGGAGGCCGACCAGAGCACCGTGTGAAAACAAGTAGCCCTTTGCTCACTTCGTTGCTGTGTTTCAACTGCACTAACGATGGCCTGAGACCAAGTACACACATTAAAATCCCACATAACCTTTATTTGAATATTGTACAAACAAGTGACAAATTTCTTTGCAACTACAGAATAAAGCAAATGTTAATTTACAGCTCAGAAACTTTAGGCAATTCAGCAACTAGGGCTCAAAGGAACTGCATCTGCAATAGAATTCAGTGTTTTCCAAATGACAAACTTTCATCCCTTTTGCGTGTTTATGGAACAATTTATTTAAAACTTCTGAATATTTTTATCTTGGGGTAGTGATGCTTCATCTGGGCGTTGACACTGAACGCCATCCCGGTGTTGAGGTGTGCGTGACAACACCTGGTTTCTCCCACACGGCCTTCAGTTTCAGCTCTTTAACAGTCTGAATGGATAGAAAATGACTTCCGTACTTTCTAAAGAAACATCTTTAAAAAAGTAGTAGAAAATGGAAAATGTCAGCATATACT